ACTCGTCACACCCGGGGAGGTGCGGGCCCTGCAGCGGCGCGTCGTGCCCTCGTGCTGCTCGTTCGAGGTCCTTCTGTGTTGAACGTGTTCCTATTCCAGAACAAGGACTTGGCCTCTTCTGAAGTACTTAAATGAAGTGACTTTTTGCCTAGTTAAAGATAGTTTAGTGGGAGGTTTCTTCTTTCATGGGAAGCTTGCAAACTTCTGTGAGATCCGTGCTTCTAATGTTTGTTACTCGAGGCTTCTGGTGCAGCGTGCAACAGCACAGGTGTCACTTTCAAATTTGGAAACAGTGTATTACAGCTTGTGTCATTTTTCATAGCTAATTGGATTGGAAATCGGATTTAGTTCTCTTGGATAGATTATGTGCCTGTTTGTGGTTTTCTGCCTGTTACGAATATATGTTTTTCCTCTATTATTGATGATAATATCAAGCTAAAAAGAGGAGATGGTGTGCCTTACCAGAGAAACAAAGTTAATTCAACTTAATACAGACGTTCTCCTTAATAGTTGCTCTTTAAGAATAATCGTTCAAAGTGAGATCTTGCATAACACATTGGATAATAGTAAACTCTTAATCGATTAGGTCAATGTCTAATATAAATAGATCTTCTTGTGCTGAAGTACTGCAGTAGCAAGATAACTTCAACTGTTTAGCTGTTTAGTGAGTACAGCTCCAAGGAGAGTCATGTAAAACTTCAGACACCTGAATCAGTCTCTTACATGATAAGCTGCCATATAAATGGGGAAAATGGAATGCATATTTTTTAAGAAGCTATTTCATGCTTCTCGTGCTACTTTGAAGATATTCTTAAACTCTGTGGGGTTTTTGTGGGTTGGCTTTTTTTGGTCTCCTGCTAAAGCATGAATCATGATTTAAATCCCAAATAGTTCCAATATGAATGTCCGTGTTCCAAGAACTGGTAATTTGAACAACGTTTGATGGGTGCTGGATTATATTTGAATTGTAACTAGTTCGAGTGCTCCTCCAGAAGTTTCTGATGCTACACTTCTGTCATTTGACAACTGTATTTCTGTAAGCTTGTTAACTACATCTGATCTGTAATTTTGCTTGTGATTTTTGTCTTTTCCTTCACTAGTAAAGATAAACTTACCATGTAACTTAAAATAAACCATTAATTAAGACTTCTGTTATCCTTCAGTAACCTTTCTCTGTCTTGCTTTTGCATTTTGCCTGAAGAAGTGCTCTAGGCCTATAAATGTGAATGCCAAAACCCAGTATTTTTTACCTTTTTTATTTTTAGCAGTAGTAGAAATAGTGTGGGTGGGTGTATCTCCATAATGTGCTGTTCTACTGGTTTATTAAGGTAATTTAATCAAGATTACTACATCATTTGATTCTAAATTATCTGAATTTGCAAAGAGGATGTTGTCCATTCATGCTGCTTTCTGACAAATAATCTAGTGTTAAAATGTAACTTAGATAAGCTCTGACTGAGTTTAATAAGAATGTGAACCTTCCAAACCAAACCAACCAACCAACCAACCAAAAAAAAAAAAAAAAACCCCCCCCCCCCCCCCCCCCCGCCTTGGTTAGCTATTCTTGCTGTTACATAGAACAAACAGGAAGGAGTTTTGGCTAAGTCCCCTAGGGATACCACTTAAAAGTGTAAACTATAGGAATTGCTGGAAGTTACCCAGAATCCAAGAAAGAGTTAAAACTTATTCTCAGGAAGCTTAAAAAAAACCCACTAAAAACCGTATCATTAATAGTTAAGTAGTTACTAGCATTTTTACTAGAACTGAAGCTTATCCCTAATATGTTATGGATATGGTCCAGGGAGGGGGGAAAACCAACTCATCTCAAATGTTGAAATTATTAAATAATAATAATAAAAAAATCTCCATTAATTTTTGTAGCATGTTTTCATTAGTATTCCTTTCAGGTTTGATTTTTTTACAGAGGTTAAATGGGGTGTTTTCAGGTAACTACTAAACAAACTTAAAGCTATTCTAGTCTGCTAGACCTAAACTCTAATATACGTATACTTTTCTGTGCTGAAATTGTGGAACACCCAAAAGTCTTTGAATTCTTTTGCCTTAACAGGTGACTGGTAGAAGTGGGAAACCTGTTTCTGACCATGTCGAGAAGAAGGCTGGAGAATAAAAGCCTTTCTGGCTTGTTAGCCACGTCTCTGCACACACAGATCAAGACAGACAATTTCCACAATTTTTATATGCTTGAATCGAAAGAGCTGGGAAGGTGAGATTTATCACATTTATTTCAGCAAGAGGAGTTTCTGCTGCAAGAGAATTATTTGTCCAATGACAGACCTTTTCTGGCAAACTTTTATGGTAGTAGATGGGAAATGAAGTATGCCTCTCTTCTTCCTCACCCCCTTCTTTGCAGTATTCAACAGGTTCTCTAGGGACCAGGAAAAGATACTCTGAGATGTAAGTTCCTAGCCTTTTCCATGTCAGATTTAGCCTGTTTTCATAGGCATGTAGATTGGAATTACGCTCCTTTTCTTCCCTTTCCTCTGTCTAGTCACAAATCACATTCCAGGTACATAAACTAAAGAAGAGATGGCATGGGGTAATACTGCAAGGAAAGAATGGGGGTTTTGAGTTGGTTATTAGGTTGATTTTTTTTTTTTTTTTAATTTCTTTTTTAAGTCCAGAAAACAAAGACCTTTTCTCTCCCCTTTTCACCCTCAAGCGGTTAAGTCTGTTTCTAACAACCTGCTGTTTCAGAGTGGTTTTGCAGCCTACTTCCCTTGCTCGTGTTTGCAATAGTAAAATAGGAAATAAAACCAAAGAAAAAAAACCAACAAACCTTTGGTATTTGTGATACTGTTTCAGACATCTGAGTCAATGTGTTTTTGAGATCACTGGGATAATTCATACTTTGAAAATACTCAGTGGATTGGGTGCAAAGCCATGCAAACATAATGCTATGGTTTGTGTTTCCAAGCTCCTTGAATAGAAGTGGCATGGGTCAGTCCCACAGTTCTTGTGCCTTGCTGTGCTACCTGGCAGTCCTTTGTACCTACAACTCGTTTTGTCAGCAGAGATGCTCCTCTGCATGTCATTTTGTAAGCTCATCAGCCTTCCTTGTTCTCTTGGGGTTTTAATTGTTTGCCTTTCTCTAGTATGTGCTTTATCTGGTATGCTTTTATAAAAACATGCCTTGCAGCCCATCACTTTCCTCTCTTCTTACCCCTCTGTCAGCTCTAGTTTTGAATTCTGGGCCCTGCAGAAGCAGTTTGTACACACCATCCTCTAGTGCTCCAGTGTTGTCAAACTGCTGGATTTTCAGACTATGCAGCTAGTGAGATGATGTCTAAAGCCAACAAAAGTATCGATTTTTTGTGGATTCCAAAACAAAGTCTTTAAAACTTGCTGTACATGCAAAATCAGGCATAACAAGATAAGTGCCAAAATGTAAAGAAACAGAAGCAGAGTAGTATGTTTTCCAAACATACTTTTGACTTTTCCTGGTCTGACAATGTCTGCGTTTAGTTTTTTAACGTTTTAAGTATTAACAATGGTTTAAGTGATGTAAAATCCACCTTTGTAGCTTCCCTAAAAGATTTAATATGCTTTTTCTTTTCACTTGCAATTTTCTTCTTCCTCTTGAGGTTACTTAGTAAATGGTTCTTTTGTTCTTCTCTACTTAAGCTTCCCAAGTCCCATTTCTTCCTCCCACACCCTTATCTTTTAGGTCCTTTGGTATTTAAGACTGACTCATAAAGCAGGCAGGTTCTGTTTAGTGGGCTAAGTAGTTTTGTCCCCAGTATGTGCATGGCTTGGCTTCTTTTGAAGTAGTTGAATTTCTGTGGTTTATAACTTGGGATATCAAAACAACTTGAAATCGTTTTTCATCTCGTAAAACTGGGCTATAAAGTTTGTGATGGTTAAGCAGTTACTTTGCAGGCAACAAGGAGTGGGAACTGCTTTGCTTGCTTCAGTGCAGTACTTCAGATATGACATTATGCATTCCTGGGGAAATGCCACTGCTCTAAACCAAATTTTATTTTTTTTCTGATCTAATAATTTTATTTAATAGTTGCCACACTACAAATGCAGTATAAAGAAGTGGAAATTCTTACATGATCAATCTGGAGATAGTGCTGACCCCTCAAAGCTGTTACTCTCTGAGCAACTAGAAGGAAGATGTGCAGAAACTTATCAGGGAAGATCTCTCTGTTCTCATGAAACTCAACCATGAAACTCAAAGTTCCCCTTCTTTAATTTTAGAGAAACTTTTGTGGTTGACAGGGTGATGTGATGTTAAAACAAGAATGTAAGCTGTGGGGGAGTATCTTAAACTTTGCTATATTGCGAAATTCAGCTCAATAACTTAAAACGGTCTGCAATAATAAGCTGGTTTAACCATTTTTCACAACTGAGAAAGAACTTGGCCTTTCCAGGCTTACAGATAGTTGCTAGAATCAAGAGTGTGCATATACCAAGCTGTTAATAACTTTCACCTCTTTCATTTTTCTTCTGAGTTTTGTAGCCTTATCTTTCTAAATTTAGTGCTTTAAAAAAAGACAAATCCTACAACTAATTGATACCGAAATAAATGATAACAGAGAAGCTGTTTTGTTGAATATATTTCTAGATAAGTGTCAGTTTGTACAAACGGTGTTTAATATGGCTATTTGCAAATGGAAATCTCATTTTTTGTGAGATGCTCATACCTTTTTTTTCATTAAATACTGAAGTCTGCAGATTTTTTTCCAAAGAAGTCCCAGGCATGACTCTTTGTTCATCAGGGACTGTTGCAATAGGACAGGGGGTAATAGGTTTAAACAAGACAAGTTCAGGTTAGATATAAGGAAGAAGTTCTTTACAGTGAGGGTGCTGAGGCACTGGAATGGGTTGCCCAAGGAAGTTGTGAATGCTCCAACCCTGGAGGTGCTCAAGGCCAGGTTGGACAGAGCCTTGGGTGACATGGTTTAGTGCAAGGTGTCCCTGCCCATGGCAGGGGGGTTGGATCTAGATGATCTTAAGGTCCTTTCCAACCCAAACCATTCTATGATTCTATGATATGTTCCCTTTAGGCATTGGGTATTTTTTGCATGAGAAGGGCAAAGCCCTGTAGGGCAATGTAGTCCTTTCTACTAAAGAAGTTAATTTAGCTGGAAAAGTGCAACTCGGCTAGCTCATACTGAGCTTCTTCATGAAGCTTGTTTTTTATGCTGTGGTAACCAAAAATATGCACAGAAAGGCTTTTTTTTTTTTTTTTTTTTTTTAAAGACAGAAGTGTAGATCTTGTTCTTTGTACACAGTTTAGAACTGTTTTTAGAACTTTATGCAACTTATTTTAGCTCTTCAAGTTCTGTTTGTTTGTTTTGGGTTGGGTTTTTTTAATAATGTTTTAGCATTTGAAAACACTTTGCAAGTATGCAACTAGGCATTTCTGGGAATGCAAAACTTGTGATTATAAAACGTTGTTTTTTCAGTTTATAACTTGGCTTAAAAAACTGCATTTTTTCTCCTACTTTTTTTTTTTTTTAAAGGTCAGCTTGGTGTTTTAACTACAGAATGTGGTTTTCTTTTGTAAACGCTTCTTTGCCAAAATACATTTTTGTTTCCATACCTAAACAGTTGGCTAGGAAATAAAGCAGCACACTTTGTCTAACTGTAATTGAGGAAGAGAATGCTAAGTAGTAGTGTTTTTCTGTTAAGATGTTTCTAAGCATTTCGTAGATGCCTGGGCTTTTTTTAGTAGTACTATGTGAGCTGTGAGGGTGAATTTGTTTTAGAAGTTTCTGCACTGAAAACCTTCCCCCTGTCCTCAGCATACAAATATCCTTTATCCGTGTTCATCCTCTGCATTTCACAGCAGTTTGCTTTGTTTATTACTGTATCCTGTAGGTACTATAATGTGGATGAAGGAGGTTTTTATGTAATACTGCCAACCTGAAGCAAGTCCTGAGCAGTCTGTCAGAATCTCATAGCTAGTCAGGCTTTAAGCAGGAAGTTTTGCTAGACACCTCCAGAAGTCCCTTCTAATCTGCGTCGTTCTATGGTTCAGTGATCCTACACTGAGAATATCCATGTAACCTCATACTCTGATTTAATGCTCAGCTAACCTATATAAAGGGAATTGTACTGGATCTCGCCAAAGCTTCGTCTGTCTTAGTATCCTTTCTCCTACAGTGGCTGAAAGTGAATGTTCAGGGACTAGTGAAAGAACAGGCCAGTCATGGCATTCCCCTGTTAAGTTTTTTTTTTCTTGGTTTCCAATTATATGTCATGCCTTTTTATTTCTAATGGCAATTTATGCACTTTTTATGTCTTAGGTCTTAACTTTTTCCCTTTTATTTTGTAGAGGAAGATGTGCTGTGGTTAGAAAATGTATAGCTAAATCCACAGGCCAAGAGTATGCAGCTAAATTTTTAAAGAAAAGAAGGAGAGGTCAAGACTGCAAAGCAGAGATTCTTCATGAAATTGCTGTCCTTGAATTAATGAAATCTAATCCTCGTATAGTTAATCTCCATGAAGTCTATGAAACAGCAAATGAAATCATCTTAGTGTTGGAATAGTAAGTATGCCTTCTCTGATGGTCCACATTTGTAGTTAGAAATCTGTCAGTATACTCTTTTGGTTTTGCATGAGTTGCCTGAAGACCTAGAAGAATTGCAACAGTACGATATTGTGTTAGTATTTCATATGATATGCTTTATAAGCTCTTAAGGACTTTTTTGGTGTAATTTGTTTTCAGGTAAATGCAAGAGTTGAATCAACTGGTGTTAATTTGAATCTTGGATTGTGTATATGTGTTTTGTTACATCCACAGCTAATGAAATATGACAAACAATATGTAATAAGGCATTAAAAAAAAAGACCAAACCCTATAGTAGTTCTGTTCTCAGAACTTTAAAAAATGGATTGAAAGATTTTTACAAAAAGCTTTTGAAAACTGAAAAGAGGGTCATTTTCCTACTGCGTAACTGTCTCATAGACAATCTCAAATTGGAATATTTTTTTGGCCTTTGCATACCTGAGCTGGGTAATTTTGGGTAAAACTTGCCTGTTTAATTTGAGTGGATTATTTCTTCTGCTAGCTGGATTTTTGTAAAAAGCTCTGATCAGTGTTCATGTCAGGCTAACCTATTCTAAAACCTGAATACAAACTCCAGGGTGGAATTAATTTTTTGTGTTAAAAATTTTCATGCAAGCTGGCCAGAGAGAATGTTTGTGAATGTAGAAGTGTGTAGTGCTTTGATGCATAATAAATCACACCACCCCACTCCCTCCACAAAAAAGTAGCTATTGATGCCAAATACACAGATTTTGGGGAAGCTGAGCACATCCATGTTCTAGGAACTTCAGGCACTACTTGAGGCTTTCTGGTGACTGAAAAACTACAATTCTTTTGTGGGTTCTGACCTTCTAAATTTAGTGGTTTTGTTGTTTTAAAACTATTTGGCTTCTGTTTCCTCCAAAATGCCCTTATTGGTTGAGATGTACCTGTTGCTTCTCATTAGGTCTGAAAACAGGTCTAACTGGGGGATTGAATACGAGTTTTCTGTCATATTTGCTTTATGTATAAATTTTTGTTTGTACTGTAAGGAACAAAAATGCAGTTCGTAAAACTATTCAGAAAGTCTTTCTCTAGAGTTTAAGTTTCACATACAAAGTATTTGAAGAACTGTTAATGGTGGTCTGCATGCACCATGGTAAATTCCTTCAAATTTGCCAAAGAATCTAGCTTGCTTTTTTTCCTGGAACTAGATGATCCCTAACATACTATTTGTTGTTCCAAGAAGGCTGAAATAATAAATAACGTAGAAGTAAAATCCAGCTGACATATTTTGAACTTCTTGCTGAGAACAAGTGCAAGTTCACATAAAAGCCATAATGTCCTCCTGCTTCTGTTTCAGCTAAGCTGTCTTGCTTATAAAAGCTCTGTAGTGAAACAACTTCCTTACGCTACAGTGATGTTAATGGTTTACTTTGTAGTAGCATTCAGAAGTCTTGCAGTAAGTGTTCCTAGTTCTATTGGGATAAGGAGAGGGCTGATTATGCTTTTAAATTATGTCCTCTGTAGCAGAATACAGATTTGCTTGTTTGTTTGTTTTCTCATTATCAGAACTCTGAAGCAGTCCTTTAAAAGAATTGCAAGAAATGAGTCTCTTAATCATAAAATAGTTAATAAATATATCCCTTCTAGCTGTATTTTTTCTCATACATGTGGCCCTTTGTGTTGCTGGGTTGTTCCTGAGCTGTACCTGCAAGTTCAAAGTTTTGCGTTGTGTAGGATTCTATTAGGTTATTTTTCTGAAGATACATATTTATGTATACCACAGGTCATCTGGTGATCTTTTTATTCACTTTCTCAGTTGATGCTGAAGTTGGTTGTTAATATCTTCCCTGAACTGGGGAGCCAAAACCAGGATACTGCATTCTAGCTGTGATCTAGTGAGCTGGGTAGAGTCACTCTTCAGTCATCTGTGTGTCCACCCATCCAGGCTGTAACATAGTAACTTGGATACAAGAGTACTGTGAGGAAACAGTGTTGAAAATGTAGTTAAACTTGAAGTGAAGGCCATCCACTGCTCATCTACATTTTGTCATAAAGGCAAAAGGAGGGTACTGATACCTTGATAGTGCCAGCAGGTTAGTGACTCTGTTAATCCATGTTATCCATTATCTAACTTTTTATACACTTATCATTTTATGAACAATAAAATTCAGGCTTACTGATAGGTAGTTTTGAGGCAGCTCTTTATCTTTGAGAGAGGGAAACTCCAGGTAGTTAGAGCTGGCTGAATAATGATGTCAAACCAAGCACAAAAGGAAACAGCTGACACTGTGGCAGAGTATAGAACTATAACTAATTAACCACATGCAACATGGTTATTTCCATGCTTCCTTTGTGCTGTAATAGTAGGGGGGTTTGTAAGCAAACAGCCTTTTTCTGAGGAAGACATGTTTGAGATCCTGTCTGAAAACATGGAGCCTGTCAGTCTCATCTTTGTTGTTAGTGTGGCAATGGTAAATCTCAATGTGACAGAGCTGAGTCTTTGTATTTCTGAATATTCTGTGTCTGCTAGAGTTCTGGAAGAATTAACTGGCTAGGCAACTGCATATTTAATCAGTAGCAGCATGCTAGATGTGCTTCCTGGTACCTCTCTGATTTTTAGTCTTCCATCAAAGGCAGGACCTAGGGTGGCAAGTATACAAATTCCCTCCTACTCCAGAAATAACCTTCAGCAACTCTAACTGTTCATTGTATTGTAGTTCATGCATTTACACCACAGCCACATAATGAAAAATAATGGTTTTTACTTGCAAATTCAGAGTACTGCTGGGCTTTCTTGCTTTGAATTTTTTATGGAACTGGTCAAATGGAAGAAACTTTAGATTTGACTTGAAGAAAAAGGCGCCTTCTGTTAGAGAATGACAATAGAACTCGCCTTCCTGAAGGCAACTTCACACTTGCTTACAGGAAAGCATGCTTGAGGGTACCAAAGTATTATGAGGTTGTCAGCCATGAATTTGTTTCATCATCTCAGAAAAGCATAATCAGACCTTTTTTTCCTCCGTTTCTAAGTGCTTATATTATGTGTCTTGGCATAAGTGTGTATTTTTTAAAAAAGAAAAGTAATCCTATTCCCAGCCTTTCAGAGACTATGCATATATATTATATACAGTGGTACCATACATAAATTTTTTCCTCACTTAAGCTTGAAAATTCAAACTTAATATGTAAGTGTTCATGAATGTGTTTCAGTGCTGCTGGAGGAGAAATATTTGACTTGTGTGTCCCAGATCTGGATGACAGAATTGGGGAAAGGGATATTGTAAGACTCATAAGACAGATACTTGAAGGACTTCGCTGCTTGCATGAAAACAACATTGTTCATCTTGATTTAAAGGTGAGGCTGCAGCAGAGTTTTTATTCTACTACTTTATCTTCAATTTAATATTGTGATAAGGTAGTCTGTTAATTACATAAGAGACATGGTGAGAAGCAGGAGTTTATTAGAGATTAAATAATTTTAAAAAATAAAATTTAGTAATAAGTATTGCATAATAGAAACTGATAAGTCATTTAGTACATTGGTGGGTTTTGCAGCCTGTATTTTTATTAATTGAGAATCAAATCTTTCCTGTTCTAGCCTCAAAATATTTTGCTGAGCAGTGTCAATCCTCTTGGTGATGTAAAAATAGTAGATTTTGGTATGTCTCGGAAGCTTGAGAATTCTGGTGAACTACGGCAGATCATGGGAACAACAGAGTATCTAGGTATGGAACAGCTGCTTCACAATTTCTGATGTGTGGTTTTGAGAAAGCAGAACCACTTCATGTAATGTGCTTATCTACTTATCAGTCATGACTAGAGAAAGAACAGGACAAGGCAACATGTTCTGAGCTGTTCTTAGAGTAGTCTATAAATTTTTCCACTAAAAATACCCCAAATTATATCAACAAGTGCATCTCTAGTTTCATGTTATAGTATTTACTTCTGCTGTGATGCAGACTGTTAAATCAACAGGAAATGTTGGCTGTTGTATTCCAACTCTAATCAAAAGAATTTAACATTAGCATGCACAAAGAAATGTTCTTTGAATTAGGAATGCTGTTTAGTGTGATGATTTAATGAGATAAAAATAATCCTTGGAAAGGGAAAGATTGCCAGTAACACTTGGCACTCTCTGAGGGGCAGGTTTCCTTAATGATTTTCCTACACTCAATTTCAAGACCACTTCAGTGTAGTCGGTAGCTTGCTACCTAGCATATGCTAACAGCCACTGAACCTAAAAATTAGCTTGGTCATCTGGCATAGCATTGTTAACACCTGAAGTCTATGCATTCCCTTTAAAAAGCAATACACTTGAAAATCAATTAGAAGACTATATTATGTGCATACATCTGACTAGAAAATATCTCGGGATTTGGAATGTGTACAGAATAGACTTTAGGCCATATAATGCCTGAAGTATGCCTATTAGTGTGAACCAATTAAGCATCTGTGCCTAATGAAATGGAAATAACATTTTTCCACCCTTGTGGCTTGAAAATAGTAAACTTGATTATTGAAACTGCATGTTTAGGCTCATAATAATGGTTGGCAAAAAACCTGCCAGAAATGTAGTATATGAATATTCAAAGCCACTTGAATAAATACATTAAACTGTTTTATTTTCTCCATCTCTTTATCTAGCTCCAGAAATCTTAAACTACGATCCCATTACCACAGCTACAGATATGTGGTAGGTTGTGTATGATAATTCATTTTATTGAGGTAGTCATGACCCTTTACCAATCTGGAGCTAGATCCAGACTCTGCAGTTCTATCTGGGTTCCTTCTGTTGGACTGACTAAAAGAGGTAGAGTTCGGAGGGGAAGGAGCCTTCAGGATATAACTTGGGGTTTACAGGAATTACTGTATATGGGTCTGTTGCACACCTAGAAGGGAATACAGGTGGCTTCTAAGCATGCAGAATCTAGTATTTGTTCTAAGAGAACAATAAGTGATTGGATAGTATACGTTAGGCATTAGTTACTCTTGTATGACTTGTTTCAGATAGCAATTAGTCTTGGACACTCCTCCCTCCCCATTTTTGTATCATTAAATAATTTTACTATACCAATGATAAGTGTTTTAACTTTCTATCTCTTTAGAGCATAATCTGCAGAATGAGTCATTAAAAAATGACAAATGTCTTAAATTGATCCACAACTTTATTAAGTGTGCTTTTGTAGCCTATTTATTTCATGAGCTCTATTAGTGTAAAGGCTGGCTTTGAGATGTTTCCGTAAAAACAAAACATTTTTGAGCATCTAAATGATTAAAATTAAGTTTTAGAAGTTGCTATGATATAATAAACTCTTTGAAATTCCCAACTCATAATAGGAATTACATCTGTTCAAGAATGGTTTTTTTTTTTAACCGCTTGCTTGCTTTTTGGAAAAACACAAAACCAAACTAATGGCACTGTACTCACAATGACAAACACAGCAGATGCATGTTCCTCACTAATGAGGACTAAGGTTTGATCTGTCAGATCACAAACCTATTCTTATTACTCATCAAGAAACTATCTAAGATTTATAATAAATCACAAGATGATGTGGTACTCGTGCTCATGTTCTTGGGGAAAAACATTTCAGCATGAGGATGTTGTTACACAACTGGGATGTCAATTATACAGAAAGGTTGACTAAGTCTCAGTCTTTGTTACTTCATCCAGAATTGTAGTGCAAGATGGGGTTTATTTTCAGGCAAATTAGAAAGTCTATTTTGTCTCAGTTCTATCATCCAGAATTGCCATGTGTCCAAGAGTGGGCTGTGTAAAAGCAGTATATTTCCTTTTCCTAACCGTTTCAATGGGAGGAAAAAGTTGTACTGAAAACAAGCGATTTCCAGAAATCCTTTCGTTGACATACATACATAGCTTTCCTTGTGTGTGTACATCCTTGAAACACAGAAAACTGACGTGTCGCATGATGTTTCTAATTCTCTGAGCGTGGCATCCATAAAGAAGTTAGATCTGCAGCACAATAAATATGGAGGGTATATTGTTTAGGTATCCTAGTAGGATTATGTATTGTGGTTTTTTTATCTCAGGAACATAGGTGTAATCTCATACATGCTGCTGACACAAGAATCTCCATTTGTTGGAGCTGATAATCAAGAAACTTACCTTAATATATCTCAAGTTAACGTGGATTATTCAGAAGAAACATTTTCATCAGTTTCACAGCCTGCCAAAGACTTCATTCAAAAACTTCTCATAAAAAATCCAGAGTAAGTAACAAACTCCCCCAGGCAAGAATCTTATCTTTTATGCTTGTGGAGCACCTAGAAGTGAATGTTAGTTTGGGAGCTGAATACCACTGATACCATCAGTCAAACATTTCACAATGCACTGGTATTATGTGTAGGTTTATGCTTTTCCATAATGTATGAAAATGATTTCTGATTCACTGTTCGTCTGTTGTAGTCAGCCTTGTGCTTTGAGCTTCATATTTTGAGTTTCTTTATATTTTCATTCAAAGGACAGACTGCTAACAAATCTGATGAAATATAATCTAGAAAGGTCATATTCTTGTCTATAATTTAACCTTGTATTGTGCAATTCGGAGAGACAAAATGCAGTCTCTTTGATGCCGTGCTTTCTTTTTTTCCTGGCTTATCTTTAATGTATCTTTCTATTTTAATACATTTCATACAAAAAAAAAAACCCAACTTGGCAGTCTTCTGACTGAGCAAACATTCTTCAAAAATACATAGTTTTGCCACGTTCAGTCTCTTAAAAATGTTCCTGATCAAAAGTACAAACTTTCTTCTTTGTAAGGCATGCTTCTGTAACTTTATAGACATTAACTGTATCTGCACTTGCTGCATAGTGTTAAATCTGGGTATTTAACTGTTGCACCAGCAAATGTAGTACAAACCAACCAACCAAAAAAAAACCAACCACCCACTACCACATGCCAAGAAAACCCCCAAACCAACCCAAACCCCCAAAATCAAACACCACCCCCCTAGAAGATACAGGGGAATAATATTTAGTGAAGTCGGTCATGTTCAGTTAGGCATGGTCAGGTATTACCAATTATAGTGCTAAGTATTGTCATTTGTGGTGAGACAGTAGTGCCTGTCTTCGGAGAGCCTGCAGCAAGTAGGAGTGTTCCTGTTTAGTTGAGAAAGAGGTTCTTTGGTAGGAGGAGAAAGTGGTATCTATGAAGTGCCTACTTTGATGAAATAAGGACTCTATATATGAAGAGTCCTTTCTGGTTTTGCATCTCACATAGAGGGTTTGTCAGCATGTAGAATAATTCTCAAGAACCATAGTATCATGAGGGAAGCAATAATGAAGAGCCTGCTTTGATAAATGTTAGTGTGGACCTGCAGGATGTTTGACATTGTCACAGTCACTACTCACTTTCTTGCTTCTGAGCATCTTGATGTCGTCATTATATCCTCACTAACCTTCCCCCCCATTCTGATTCTTGATGACTATACCTTCTTGAATGTTAAGAGGAAAAATGTGTCCTCAGAAAGTCAACTCTATAAAGTTACAGGTCTATGACCAAAAAATATTCACATGTTGTGGTAGAGTTAAGGACAAGCAGTGGGCTCTGTTGCAAGTTCAAGGAACTCAGCAATGCCAGAATATGATGAAAACTGTAGTAGTGCTATACGAGGTTACCCAAAGGAACAATTTGCAAGTTTGTGTTTTGTCTGATAGTAACTACATAAATTGCAAGAGTAAAACACTGCTAAAGTTGGATAGAGTTGATGACACCATGTTGTTTGGCCCTCCTTGAAAACTTAATGACTAAATATTCATTAGCCTTCCTATTTAGAGTGGTCTGTAGAAAACATAGAACTTCAAAAGCATGAGCTCATGCACATTTATATAGACAATGTTGAAAACATTCCAAGAGACTCTGAATACCAGCTAAGAAATACCTGCTCCTTGTTCTGATGAAAAGCATACCAGTTCTGACATTCAGCAGCTGGGAAGACTGTCAACTAAAATTTAGATGTGTGTTGCCAGTACTTAACCTTAACTGTTGTGGGGTCTGTGCTATGGGGTGCTATGTGTTTTATAGCAGCCATGGTAGTAGTGGAAAACCAGGAATATTAACTCCTTAGTGGTAATTCTGCTTAAGATATCTTAACACGTGTCGGAGCTATTTCACTATGTTTTTAGTATTTCTGAAATGAACTTAAAGAACTTTTAATCTTTTCTTTTTCAAAGGCAAAGACCCACAGCAGAGGCCTGTCTTTCTCATCTGTGGTTGCAGCAAGGGGAGTTCACACTCTTGTGTAGCCCTGAAGAAACTTGCTGCTCTTCTCTGATGCCAGGACACACCACAAAATGTTCAGAAGAGCGGAATGTAAAATCTAGTTGTAATGGTACCTGTAGCAACAAGGAAGACAAAGAAAACATACCAGAGGACAGCAGTATGGTCTCCAAACGCTTCCGTTTTGATGATTCACTGCAGTATCCCCAAGACTTCATGACAGACTTCATATGTTAATGTGTAATATAGACTGTTATAAAATGAATTCAGCATAATCTGTTCCAGTGGCAAATATAAGATTATGGCTTGCCAATTCGTGCAGCATTGGCATACTAGAAATGCACTTTGATTCTTTTATGCTGGTGCTTCCTTTTCTATCCATTGCTGGCAATGGATTTAACCCCTGAAACATTGGGGTTGTGGCGCCACTAAAATGAATTATTTTTTTAAGAAGATTTAATGAAATATTTTTGCACTTTTCAAGTTTTAGTCCAAAAATGATGCCAGAGTGAACAAACTAAAACCTGAAAATAAGTTTGTTTAAACTCAAGCTTTGCCAAACAGTGGTTGAATACACACACACTTTTCTGACTAGCCTTAAGAAATTGATCTAAGCAGGGAAACTGAATCTAGCTGTTTTACTGGGCTTATGTGTGACCATTCTCATCACTTTAATGGAAGCTGAAGCTGGTATGTTTTGGGAATGCGGTACATCTGTTGTGGCCATTTGCAAAACTACTTTCTAGGATCATTAGTAGTTAAGGAAATGTTTCTATCTTATAGATCTGGTCCGCTTAGGAATTATAATGCATACTCTGTGTGTTTTCCAACAGGAAACTGAGTTGCATTTCTGCAATGCTTGAATAGAAAATGGGTAGATTGTCTGCCCTTGTGCTAGTGGTCCTTCTTATCAGTAAGTTATAGTTGGAGAGGATGAGGGTCTCGCGCTGAAGTGAATATTTGATAAACTAGCTTGCTTTCATTAAACCTCTGGAATAGTACCATCTACCTATATTGACCTATTCCTCACCTTAAAAACAAACAAAAACCCCAAGCAAGCAAGCAAACAAGCAAACAAAAAAAACCCCAAACCAAAAAGCCTCTTTAGAGTTAAAAGTAGTAACTGAATAAACTGAAAATAACAGGTTTTGCCTGTGAAAGTGCAATTAAAAGTTTTTCATTATGCCCCTCTAATGCAGAAGTGCAGTGCATCTTTCTGTCAGTTATTGTTATCCATAATAATTTAGCTTCATGCCCGCTCTGAGAATGGACTGCAGTGTGTTAGTATTTAAAGACAAACAACCCAATAATCGTTTTAAGCCTTTAAATTTGGTTTGTTTATTGGTTTTGTTGTGGTTTTTTGGGGTGGGAGGTGTTGTTTTTTGTTTTATTGTTTTTAATTATATCCTTTTCACTTCCTGTTTCTAGGCTCTGAGGAAATAATGCCTATGTCAATTTTAAGCAAATACCAATCATGCCTTAACAGCCTAAAACTAATACTGACAAGATAAAATCTTAATTGTAACACTGAGGCTGAAGTCTTTTTGTGTAAGGAATGTATTAAAACTCTTGTAAATATTTTAAAAGTAAACAGCACTTTAAAATACTTCTGGGATTTTCTACTCCTCAGAGCTTAGACTTAATCGTCTTTGATTTGGATTTGGTTTGTTCTGTATAATAAAGTATCATAATCTGAAGTGTGCCTGTGGGCTTGTCAATAGTTAGGCAGGTTGAGATTCTGGAACAACATAGGATTGAGGTGAACGTAAGGAAAGGTAAAAGGTTGTATTTTATCTTTCTTCACACAAGGAAGGAACAGGGTTTTCTTACAAAGAGATTTCAATATAAGGTATCACCATAAAGCATGGGGGAATTCAGGACTGTTGCCATTATTTTGGGTGACACTCACGTTGACAAGTGAAAAGTTGACTGAGGTGTAAGACATGTAAGACTATTTCAGCTTACTTTAGTCAGAAGTAGTTTTCCAAGACTTAATCTCATGTGAAAGGAAGTAATGAATATATTCAGCACATATGAAGCTCAGATCCCTAGGTATAAATGAACCACACTGAGTCAGTGTACGCTGTGTATTACTTCTCATGTAACCTTTTTTCAGTGATACTGATAATATATACTAAGTGACTTTGCTGGAGGCAGTTGCTGAATCATATTCAGGTACCTTATACCCTTACTTTTCAAAGGCCTTGGCTTTTCCCAGTGGAGTGTTAACCTAACCTTTTATTTTTTCCACCAGCATGTGGCCCAGTTTGAACTGGGTAAATTAAAAATACAAACTTTTGTACATATTGAGAAATTAAATTTCATTTAAGGAAGAAAATGTCAAAAGCTGTGACAGGTAAAGTAGAAAAGGATGTTTATAAAATTGTTGCATTTTAAAATACATTACAGAACTGAAATTGCAACTGGGAAGCTTGTGAAAGTCTTTGTACATTAGTATTCTATTTTTAACATCTGGAAAATAAAGCTGAAAACGTATGCCAGCACTTTATGACAAAGTTGTTATTAAGATTTTTATCATGGTATCTGATGTTTACATTTCTTACTACTTTTTGAGCTAATCTTTAAATAAATGACAATTGGTCGTATCCGAGGAACTTAAGTTTTGAAGACTTTATTTGTACTTTACGTAAACTTAAAATATACCTTGAATCAGATTTTCTTTGGATCACTGCATTTATTTAAAAATATTATTGTTCATGCAAACTTCAATTGAATGTAAATACATACATTGTAGACAATTGTTAGCCCATCTTGCTTTCTGCCATATTACTGGGAATTACCAAGTGTAAACGAGTGATGAGTAACACTTTAAGATGACTGAAGTCGTATTTCTGTGCAGTTCATGGCCTTTTTATATAACAAAAAAAAAAAATAAACTTTGTCTTTTTTTCAAAACTTCCGTATTTTCATTTCTTCACAGAACCAGAAAAGGAATTACATTCAAAAGAGCTAGTAACCTGTTGTGGCCTGGATAATGCGTTTCCTGCAAAGGCATGTTTCTTTGATGAAATGAAAGCTTTCTCATTGTTAGAAATGCACAAATAGGCTTTATTTTTAATGAAAGAAATAGTGTATTCACATGCTTGGTTTGGTGTTGCTTGCTGCGTCAATTTCAGAAGTTACCTGAATATTTACATTCCCTGTGTCACAGGTTCTTACCAGAATACTGCCTGCTCCTGCTTCTTTAAGCCATCTACAAAACTTCTCTGTTTAGTAGTGATTTGAGACAGCTTGACATTTCTGCCTTCTAAGAAAGCCTTTGAAGGAAGGAGACATGTTAGAAAAGTGCATCATCTAGGTAATAGCTGATCATCTTACCAAGACAATTGTGCTTGTATGCTTGCCAAGTAAGGTATGTTGTTATTGAAAAAAATATATTGTAAAATTGGTGCAAGGTAGAAGTGTGCAATTACATGTTTGTTTCAGAAAACAATCATCCTGTGAACCTGGCAGCTGACAGACTTGAAAAAATACTACTTGGACCACTGAGCACTGGAGAAGTGAGTGAGATACAGAATGAATCAGTGCATAGGAAGTCTACCAAACGAATGGTAACATCGTGAAACTGAATTGCTGAGTCAGCTACTACTGTGTGAGCAATTTCTTAGCTAAAAGCAGGTACACGAGAATTCATACATGGTTATCCCATGTAGTGATTAAGGAATATGACTTTGAGACACAAGTTGAAGGCATCTCAGAAGCTGACATTCCACTGCATTCAAACATCTTGTTCCATTTTCATGCTAGGTAATGTTTTGCAGTCTGCCATCTGAAACCTCTGGGGAAGAGAAAAGCCCTTCCTGAAACTATTTTTAAGGAAATACCCAAATCTGAGAACTTTAATTTTTGTGCACACAGGAATTATTACATTTGTTGTACTTTCAGACATTATTTATTTGCTCTAATCATAACATACAAAGCATGCCAGTACTTGGGTTAAAAATTGAAGGATCACTTTTTTCACTTTAAAAAGAAAACATCTGGTCAGTAAAACACTTCACTATACATAGTATTTTGGATTATGCTTTGAATACTTTTTTGAATACTTTTGCCTCTGCTGGAAGAGAGGAAAAAAATGTATTCTTGATTACTCCAGAATTTAACTGACGCATCAAGGTGGAATAAAAATCCAACATCACCGAATCTTTCAGAAAATGAAAACTTAGTGATAAAGAGACCTATGGCCTTTTAGTCTTCCTGTATTTAATTTCACTCTCACTGATCCCTTTATTTTGCACTGATACTCCAATCTTTGCTAAACTTACCACATAACAATATATGAACTGTATGATACTGAATGCTTATGTTCTGTTGACTTTGGCTGGTAATGACAGATTTTTTTAGTAGTCTGCTCCAATGTTTCTTAATTCCTTTTAGTACGGTTCTAAAACAGAGGCTGAGGAGTATGCACTTTGTGGATACTCCCTTCTACTCTTCAGCCTTTGACTGTTTTATTCTTTTCATCTTATTTTTATTGCTGAAGTTAGATTTAGATTGCTTTGTTAGGTATGAGTGTGGGATTTCAGAGGAAAGTTATGTTAACCACAGGAAGGCAAAAAAATTAGCTTTAAACCATTTTTTTTCTGCTGTGTCCTCCTGTGGCCTTGGAAATGCTGATTAAAATCAGCTGGTGTTGTGTTTGTGTTAGTAAAATGTGTTTAACTGGTCACTGCAGGAAAAGAATGAAATGGGGGGGTTGAAGAATGAACAGCAACACAGTTGTTTGTAGTTCTCTGTAAGAAAGTTCTGATAATGAAAAATATATTGTATATACAAATGTGATTTTCTCTGTAACATTCCTAACATTAACAACCTAACTGTGCCTTTCTTCCCCTGAAGAGTTCAAGCAGATGAGCTATTTCCAGTTTCCTAATCAAAAGATGAAAAACCAAAATGTCACTTTCTGTGAAAAGAAATCTCAACATCCAGCAGTGTGTGGTGATGTGCACTTAACATACTGCTGCCTTCTGTAGATACAGTTTATAGTAGTTGAGTGATTCAGTATTAAAGAGAAATAGCAAAGATTTCCCTCTGCATGTTTTCCAGCTAGACTGTTAGATATTATAGCTAGTACAGTGTACAGCTTGTTTGAATCTCCCATAGATGTGTTGAGTATGAGGGTATTTCCCATTTCAAAATCAAAACCAGGCTTTGGTACTGTTTTAGGAAATGCACTGGGAATTCCAAGTGATGTTGGATTTTCTACAGCTGGACAAAGCAGAAATACCCTACTGTTCTTTGCCTGTGGTATTTTAACAAAGGGACTTTTATGGATAAGACTTGACATATAGACTCTTATAAAGCTCTATGTACAATTCACA